AATGACATGAGACAAAGTATATGTGAACTGCTGTATGAAAAGTGAATTTACTCTGTAAATCTTCACCCAAATCCTAATAATAAAAAAAATAAATTAAAAAAAAAAAAAAGACCAACTATCCAAATGGATTGTTTAAATCCAACCACTTCACACACAGGTGTTTTTGCAAGAAAGTATTTGTCTGTGAAAGTCTGACAGACCAGTATTCACAGTAGCTTTGGCCAAAACACAGACAATGCAATGTTCATCAGGAGGTGAGCGGTAAACTGTGGTATAGCCACCCAGCGGAATACCACTCAGCGAGCAGCAGCAGCAGACCACTGATGTACACACAACAACAGGGATGAATCTCAGAACCATTCTGCTGAGCAAAAGAGGCCAGATACAAAAGGGCTACTGTATAATTCCATTTTATACAAGTACGGAAACGGCAAACAAAATGTATTGTCAGAATGCAACTCAGTGTTTGCTTGAAGCTGGAGTGGGGGAGGGAATCTGATGGGAAAGGAGCACTAGGAACCTCCCGGGTGAGGAAAGCAATACAAATGTGGTGGGGGTAGGTACACATGTGAACCCATGGACCAAAACTCAGTGCACTGCAATTTCAAATGGTGCATTTCACTGTATGTAAATCAAACAACTGAATGCATAAAGATACATGTTATAATAAATATGTAATATTAATTACAGAAACAGCAGAGCTGTAGGTCACTGAGCACAAACCTGGGGGCAGAAGTAGGGGTTCTAAATTCTGATTATTATATACTTGTGGCCCAAGGCCATTCATTTTTACTCACCGCCAACAGAAGACACATTTATTTGCACACGCCAAGCTAGGAGTGGTTTCCATGCAGCGATGGCTTTCAATGCCATAAAATGTATGTTTATAGCAACCGCCTCTCCCTCGAAGCATTGACTGTGACAAGTAAAAAAACAAATGATAATTTGAATAAAATCCTCAAAGCACAGAAGCAAAACACCAAGGCAGCATCTTTAAGAAGAAACCATGTGTTTCATAGCCGTAAATACTCCTAATGGTATCTGCGTGACTCAGAAAATTAACATTACACTGTTCTAATGTTTTGATAGTGCTTTGGATTTTCTAAGACCCAATGAAATAAACATGATTCATTAACTCTAAAACCTCTACAGGGAGAACTGTTGGTGCTTTAATTTCCTAATCCATTTAACTGTCCCCAATAATATTAGCACAGTAACTGTACAGGTAGTCCCCAACTTACAACGTATTCAAGTTACGATAAACCGTGCTTACGACTGTACATTTTTGGTTATTTTTTGTGATCTTATTGTTAGTAATACGTACTACACACGATATTGCAGCACATAATTTCCTGACGTCATCATATCTGTAAGTCTCTATGTAATGTTTTCAACCTCCAAAGATGAATAAGGGTCAGAAGATCAGACTTATCAAGCGACTGAGAATACAGGCAGTGACAGTGAAAACAGAAATATAAAAAAAATGAGGTACTCAACTTACATCAGAACTGACTTACAATGGAGTGGTCAGAACGAAACCCTGTCTAAGTCAGGAACTACCTGTAATGTCAAGGGACAGATAAGACAGGCTTGACGGTGACAGCACTTGGAAGGCACATCTTTGCTTTGAGGAAGAGAGTGGGTAGGAAATAACAGCCTGAAGCACAGCCATGTCAACAGAACAGGTAGAATTCAAACATCCTGAGATTGCTGGGGCGGTGAGAGAGCGTATAGAGGACACACAGTATAATAAAGAAAATGTGTCCTTCCAGAGCAAAGATCAAGCAAGGCTACAGCCAATGATGAAAGATGCATGGTCCCTAGGCCTCCAGTTCCTCTCCCCTAACCCATGTGCAGATGTTACCTGGCCTTCCCAATGCTGCTCATGGGAACTGCTCTTAGGAACTAGAGTAAACGCTAATAGTCTTGCTACTGCTGGTATTGTCACAAACTGTCCTTTGTCTCTGGCCAAGAGTATCCAGTCTTCTGTCAGGATCCATCAAACTGTGGCAGGAGGACTTTCTAGCACTGTGGTCAAATGAGTTCCTTTCTGTGGCCTTCTGCCTTGGTTCTCTGGCAAAACAGCTTGAGGGATTGTTCCCTATCCCTGAGGACTTACCTTTGGCCTAGTCTCTACCTCAGAGGGTTCATTACTTTTATCCAGGCTGACTAACATTTTCTGGGTAAGATGATAACAACCCAACTTTTTGTCTGGCCCTGAGCTTCACGTTGTCATGTGACTGGCATACACCTTGCAGGGACTGGTCAGCACAGCCATGCACATGAAGTGACTATGGACTACACAATGAGACGACTATGGTCTACAAAGACTTACTCACTGGAAATACCATTATTCAACAATAGAAATGGTGAGTATACACATGGACCTCACCAGGTGGGATACACAGAAATCAAATCCACTACATCTGTGGAGACAATGGAAAAGCCCAGCATCATCAGAGAGGACAAGGCCAGAGGTCAAATGCTGAAAAAACCATCAGCTGCTCACATGGAAGTTCAAGTTGAAGCTAAAGAAAATTAAATCGAGTCCATGAGAGACAAAATACGACCTTGAGTATATTCCTCCTAAATTGAGAGACCATCTGAAGAACAGATTTAACGCACGGAATACTAGTGAATGGAAACCAAATGAGTTGTGGGATGACATCACACACAAAGTCAAAAGGTCATTAAAAAGACAGGGAAGGCAAGAAAGACCAAAGTGGATGTCAGAAGAGCCTCTGAAACTTGCTCTAAAAATCAGAGTCACTAAAGCGAAAAGAAGAAATGATGACGCAAAAGAGCTTAACAGAAAATTTCAAAGAGCAACTCAAGAAAGCAAAGTATTATAACAAAATGTGCAAAGACCTGGAATTAGAAAACCAAAAAAGAAGAACATGCTTGGCATTTCTCAAGGTAAAAGAATTGAAGAAAACATCCAGGCCTCAAGCTGCAATATTGAAGGATTCTAGGGATAAAAATACTGAATGATGCAGGAAGCATCAAAAGAAGATGGAAGGAATACACATGGTCACCGTACCAAAAAGAACTAGTCGATGTTCATCTCTTTCAGGAGGTAGCATATGATCAAGGACCAATGGTACTGAAAGAAGAAATCAAAGCTGCACTGAAGGAATTGATGAAAAACAAAGCTCTAGGAATTGACAGAATACACACTGAGATGCTTCAACAAACAAAAGAAATGCTGGAAGCACTCCCTCATCTATGCCAAGAAGTTTGGGAGACAGCTACTTAGACAACCAACTGGAAGAGATCCATGTATGTGCCTATTCCCGAGAAAGGTGATCCAACGGAATGCAGAAATTACTGAACACTATCATTAATATCATACACAAATGAAATTTTGCTGAAAATAAGTCAAAAATGGTTTCAGTAGCACAGTGAGGAATTGCCAGAAATTTAAGCCAGATTCAGAAGAGAATGTGGAACAAGAGATATCACTGTGATGTCAGATGGATCATCACAGAAAGCAGAAAATATCAGAAGATGTTTGCCTATATTTTGTTGACTATGTAAAGGCATTTGACTGTGTGGATCATAATAAATTATGGACAACACTGCAAACAGGAATTCCAGAACACTGAACTGTGCTTGTGCAGAACCTGCACATAGACTAAGAGGCAGTCATTCTAACAGAACAAAGGAAAGTGAGTGGTTTAAATACAGGAAAGGTATGTGTCCGGGTTGTATCCTTTCACCATACTCTTGTAGCATAGTGGCTAAAGCACTTGACTGCTAACCAGAAGGCTGGTGGTTCAAACCCACCAGCCACTCCTCGGAAGGAAGGTTGGGCAATCCTACTTCCGTAGTGATACTGCTTCGGAAACCCAAGGAGGGGTCGTTATGAGTCAGGGCCGACTCGATGGCACATAACAACAACAACAACAACATCCAATCTGTATACTGAAGATATAATCAAGAAGTTGGGCTATGTGAACAAGACAAATACGGCATCAGGATGGCAGGAAGACTTGCTAACATGCTGAGATACACAGATGACACAATCTTGCTTGCTGAAAGTGAAGAGAATTTCAAGCAATTACTGAAGAAGATCAAAGACTACAGTCTTCAGTATGGATTACACCTCAACATGAGGAAAACAGAAATCCTTTCAACTGGACCAGTAAGCACTATCATGATTGCCATGGATTGAACTGTGTCCCCTAAAAACATGTGTCAGCCTGTCTAAGCCATGATTCTCAGTGGTTTGCAGTTATATAATGATGTAATTTGGCAGTTATATAATGATGTCATCATCCCCTATCATATCTGATGTGATAAGCCAATCAGTTGTGAGGTGCTTAGGGTAGGATACACCATTCTTTTTTCTTTTTTCTTTTTTTTTTTTGTGATTTGGGTGAAAATTTACAGAGCAAATTCACTTTCCATACAGCAGTTCACATACACTGTCTCATAACACTGACTACAATTTACCACAATGCAACAGCTCCCCTCTCACTTCCTCCCAAGAGTTACCTCTTCCCTGTGTCCATCATTCCATGCCCTCCTGCCACCTGAGCTACCTCCCTGTGCAAACAAAGCCCTTCTTTCTCCCATGATTGTTCTCTCCAAGGAATTTATCTACCTCAGGTAAATGTTCAACTCATCCGTCTGTCTTTTGTTTGGCTAGAAGCCACTGGGTGGGTTCAATTCCAGACCTGATGGGCAGCTAGGGGCCATAGTCTTAGTGGTTCCATCAGGCTCTAAAAAGACCGCCAAACCTGGTCCCCCTCTCCAAATGATTTTGAGTTTTGTTCCACATTGTTCTCCCTCTCTATCCAGGATCTCCTACATAGATCCCCCTCCAAGTGGTTGACAGTGGTAGCCGGGCACCATCTAGTTTTTCTGGTCTCATAGTCGTATAGGCTGCGGATCACGTGGTGAGATACGACACTCTTAATCCCTTCACAGCCCTGATCTGATCTAAGGGGCGTTTCCCTGAGGGGTGGCCTGTGACACCTACTATCTTACAAGAGATGAAATGAGAGGGACTCGAGAGAAAGGGACCTTCTACTGCCAAGAAAGAAGAGTCAGGAGTGGAGCACAGCCTTTGGACCCAGGGTCCCTGCACTGGGATCCTTCTGTGACCAAGAGACACAGGGACAGAAGCTTCGAGGAGAGCCAGGGTTCTGTCATCAGACTTCTAGCCTCTGAAACTGTGACAGGATAACGTGCTGTCTGTTAAAGCCATCCACTGGAGTATTTCTATTACAGCTTTGTTGTTGTTGTTGTTGTTGTTTGCCGTCGAGTCGGCCCCGACTCATAGCGACCCCTCCTTGTATTACAGCAGCACGAGAGAACAAAGACAATGCTAAACACAGAGAATACTGAACATCATCAAGGACGTCATTTTACTTGGATTCACAATCAACACCTATGGAGGCAGCAAACAAGAAATCAAATGACATACTGCATTGGGCAAATCTGCTGCAAAAGACTTCTTTAAAGTATTAAATATTCTCAAAGGAAAAGACAATCAACATACACCAACTCTGCATGACCCAGATGTTGCTCATTGTACACACGTGTTTGTGTACATATATATAGACACATACACACTCGCACACACACTTAGTAGGTGCCATCAAGGCAATTCCAATTCATAGCAACCCGACGTTCAACAGAACCAAACACTGCCCAGTCCTGCACCATCCTCACAATCACTGCTGTGTTTGAGCAAATTGCTGCAGGCACTGCTTCAATCCATTTTGCTGAAGGTCTTGTTCTTTGTTGCCGACCCTCCACTTCACCAAGCATGATGTCCCCACCAGGAACTGGTTTCCCCTTCAGTTTTCATGTTTTGTGTTGTATTTAAACTCCTTATTTAAATAAAAATCTGTTTTCAAAAGCAAAAGTTTTAAAAAATAAACTAGGAAAAATATTTTCAATAAAAGATCCAAGCTTTGTTAATAGTTTTGACAAAGAGTTAATAGAAAATTACAAGAAAAGACTTTTATTAAACCCTTTGAATTGGTAACGTCAATTCTAAGACTTTGCTCTATGGAAATAATCTAAATGCAAATACAACTTCAAGCAAAAACATGTTTGTCACATAATTATAAGAGTGAAAAAAACTGAAAACAACCTTATTACCACTAGGTGAATGGTAAATTAAACTATGGCATATTCATCGATAATTACACAGTTGTTACAAATTATGCCTGAATATAGATCTTTTAGTAAGAAAATGTTTATGTTATAATGTTAGGTTAAAAAGGGGTATAAAATTACATCTATATTATGATTTCAAATATCTACAAACATATGAAGGAGCTCTGGTAGCGTAGTGCCTAAGGCACTTGACTGCTAACCAGAAGGCTGGCGGTTCAAACCCACCAGCCACTCCTCAGAAGGAAGGTGGGGCAATCTACTTCCATAGTGATACTGTCACGGAAACTCAAGGAGGGGTCGCTGAGTCGGGTCCGACTCGACAGCACATAACAATACCACCACCACAAACACATGAAAAGGTACACAGAAAAAAACTTCTGCATGGTAGCATATAATTTTTATTTATTATATTCCTTACATGTTATTTTAATGTTAAGCAAAAATGTATTATTTGAAGGACAAGTGATTTGAATCACAAACTTCAAATACCACCACGCACAAGCCTGGGGATCTGTTCCCCCAACACGAGGCCACCAGTTCAAGCAGGGTCTGATTGCATTCCGTCACCTGTGACCGCTCTTCACCGGCTGCCTGCGTAATTCATCACCGTCCACTCAGTTCTCAAGTGCTGACAATGTGCTTTCTCATTGTTTACCATGGGCCAACCTGCCAGCCTCACAGACTCCCCAACTCGTGTATTATCATAGGAAGAGTCTTTTTCAAAACAGACAAATAAAATGCTTATCTTCAAAACTTCCAAAAATTACCTATCTCCCTGTTACTTTAACTTCACTCATTTCTATTTAAAGATCCCTTAAGTCCTGGATATACAAGGAACCAAGAAAATGGTACTAATTCTCAAAGGAAAAAGACAATCAACGTATGCCAGCCCTGAAATGGCCCAGGTGTTGCTCACTGTACACACGTGTTGCTACTGTTACATGCTCTCCAGTTGGTTCTGACTCAGAGTGACCCTACACTGACCCTACAACTGAACAAAACACCACATAGTCCAGTACCGTCCTCACAACCGCTGTGTGTGTGAGCCACTGTACATCCACTGTGTCAATCCATCTCATGAGGGTCTTCCTCTTTTACACTGACCCTCTACTTTGCCAAGCACGATATCCTTCTCCAGGGACCAGTTCGTTCTGATAACATCACAGAAGTACATGAGACGGAGTCTCGCTATCCTTGCTTCTCAGGAGCGTTCTGGCTGTACTTCATCTAAGACAGATTTATTCGTTCTTCTGGCAGTCCATGATATATTCAGTCTTCTTTGCCAACACCATAATTCAAAGGTATCGATTCTTTGCTGTTCCTTATTCATTGTCCAGTTCACATGTATATGAGGCCATTAAAAATACCATGACTAAGGTCAGGCACATCTTAGTCCTCAACAAGACATCTTTGCTTTTCAACACTTTAAAGAGACCTTTTGCAGCAGATTTGCCCAATGCAATAGGTCATCTGTATTGCAGACACACATATGATAAATATATCGTATTTGCTCTCCAGACTACAACATGGCAACGGTAATGGTGAAAAAAGAGACTATCAATTAAATGACTTCTTCATCAAACAAGTCCTCCTCCATCATTACCCACTATAGTCACATGTCCTCGCAGCAAGAACCTTCTACTCAGCAGAGTTCCACCTAGATGACAAGATGACAGACGCTTAAGAAAATGAAGATAGCCAAGCCACAAACACCTGATGGAAAGCTCCCAAGGCCCTTAATCTTTCAGGCAAACAGCCCTTGACACAGAACTAAGAAAAGGAAAAACCACACTTCCTTAGCCTCTCAGCATTCTCTTCTCAATCCCTACCTAGAACCTGGACCATGGCTTCAGATCAGAGATTTTAGTCGTTCACACCTTGTCAGTCTTCACTACGACTGTTTCCCCATCACACAGATATTTAACGCCTACCAAACTGGCAGCAGGCCAGGACCACATCCTTTTACGCATCCAATACTGTATGGTTCAGATACCAGCTGCTGCAAACCCTCCTCCCCCAAACCTCACGGCTGAATGCCTCTTTACTCCTCACATCCTGCTCACTCCTCACACCCTTGTGGTGCACTCAGTTGTTCTGTGAAAGGCTGGAGGTTCCAGGCCACCCAGAGGGGCCTCAGAAGAAAGGCCTGGAGCTCTACTTAAAAAACAACCATTGAAAACCCAGTGGAGCACAGCTCTACTCTGACACACACGGGATTCCCATGAGTCAAGTGGACAGCAACAGTGTGCTGTGTGTAGGGCACTGTCTCCCTCAGTTCTGAGCCAGCTGAACAGATGCACCACTGCATGTGGCATGGGCGGAGGTCACTCCTGTATCTATTGCACAAGGAGAAGGCCTCTCTCAGTGTCTGCCAGTGATGCTGCTAGACCCCTTCTCTCCTTCACCTGCCTCTCTTCCTCCTGCAGTGTCTGCTGGCCTTTACAGCACGGCAGCGGAGTCCCCACAGGAAATGCTCCAGGAGGACCAGCCTCAAGAAGCAAGCACTATCAAATCTCTGCTTGCATCACATGTGCTAACATCCCACTGGCCCAAAGAGGTCAAGTGGCCAAGTCATGTGCAAGAGAGCAAGACAAGAGTGTGGACACTGGGAGCCATGGTTCAATATGGGCCACTTAAGTCACTTATACTAACTGGTCACTTCTAAGCCTAAAGGGAAAATCCCTTCTATTACCATAATTTATTCATTTTCAAAGAACATTCACACTCATTACAGTAACTAGTAGCTCCAAAGAGATTTGGAATGTATTATAAAAAAGTTCACCCAAAATCACACTTGGTGATGAGTACATCTCCGAAAGGAGAGAAGGCAAATATCCTGATTTTAATATCTGTTTACTTCACAGATATTCACGGAAAATCTACTACCTTCAATGCCACATGACCCAGAGGGAGAAAATTATTCTGACTTCATGTACATACCTTTTTGATAAAACCCTATGGTTTTTACCTGGAAATATGGAGGAAAGTGTAACCCATCCAAAATAAACAAATACCATCTGTTCAAATCCTTAAACTGAAAATAACCTGAACTGTATCAACTAAATGTCACATTAGTAACATAACCACAGATACACTATTCCACAGAACTTAGAACATAAATGTGAATTCTACTCTAAATATCCACTGCAATTTTATTCATCATAGCCAAAAAACTGACGACAACCCGAATACTTATCAACAGATAAACTGCAGTGTACTCAGAAGTAAGAGAGAGGGAACTGGGGATCCACACTGTAGTGAGACTGACTCTCAGAAACACATTCAGCTAAGCAGCCACTCATAAAATTACTGCACACATACTGTGTGATGCCTTTGATAGGAAGTTCTAGAACAGGCAAACCGAAGCTATGAGGACAGCAATAAGAACCATGGTTCCTGGGCTAGGGGTGAGGACAGTAGTGACTAGAAGCAGGTACAAGTAAACACACTTGGGTACAGGGGACAGTCTCCCTCTTTACTGGGCGGTAGCTATACGGTTCACACAGAAACATTCACTGAAGTCACTTTAAAAAATTCATTCTGTGCATTTATAACATACTACACAGTTACATGGAACATTCCACATTCTACTTCGGTGAGTGGCGACTGGGATTTTAAATACTTGCAAGCAGCCACCTAGAAGCAACAATGGGTCTCTCCTCGTCCAGAGCAAAGAAGAATGAAGAAAACCATAGATTCATGGAAACAATTAGTCCAAGCGACTGGTACACCATGTGATTCTCTGCCTATAGGACTATAAAATCAGAAGAACTAGATAGTGCTCGTCTATCACTGTCAAACACTCAGAGGGTGATCTATGTAGGAGATCCTGGAGAGAATGTGAGAACAATGTGAAATAAAACTCAAAATCATTAAAAAAAAAAAAAAAAGACGGGGGGTGGGGAGGACCAGTTTTGCTGGTCTGATAGAGCCTGATGGAACCACTGAGAGTATGGCCCCTAGCTGCCCTTCAGGTCTGGAATTGAACCCACTCCTGTGGCTTCCAGCCAAACAAAAGACAGGTATATGAGCTGAACATTTACATTAGGTAGATACACTCCTTAGAGAAATCTATTCTCATGGGAGAATAGAAGGGCTGTGTATGCACAGGGAGACAGCTCAGGGGGCAGGAGGGCATGGAAGAAAGAACACAGTGAAGAGGTAACTATGGGGGGAAGTGGGAGGGGAGCTGTTGCATTGTGGGAAATTACAGTCACTGTCATGAGACAAAGTATGTGAGCTGCTGTATGGAAAGTGAATTTGCTCGTAAGCTTTCACCCAAAGCACAATAAAAAACTGTTTAAAAAAGTCTATCCATTTAATTGAACGTGTTTTTTAAAATGAAAAAATCCACTGCCTGCATGTAATAGCCATATAAAAGCTGCATAACACAGAAATGACATTTGAATAAAAAGAAGTCAGTACCTTGGTCCACCTGCAAAGCTTTACCCCGGAGTGGCTCCCAATCAGCTGATATCCTGGTTGGAAAAAGAGAGAACAGATTAACTGAACTGACTCACAGCCTTTTAGCAAAAGGTGACTTAAGAATTTTAACAAAATTGTTTTTCTCTGCTTAAATAATGGCAGTCAACCACCTAGTGGCAGAAAACATTAATGGTTTCATTTACAGGATGAGAAAACAACTGAAAATGTATAAGCTTCTACTAACATAGACTCAAAATACGCAGAGAAACAAAAGGCTAACCGAAATCATGGAGGAGGCGATGACCTCTCTCGACATATAATGCATCCCACAGACCACACATCAGTCGCGCTCCGACTCTGAACAACACGACAAACCAGCTGATCCAGCACAAGACCCAGGGCACCACGCTCAACACCAGGGAACCCGCATTCCTTCCAAACTCATGAGAATGGAGCATAGGCTGGCATGCCGGCCTCTGAGCAACAGCAAGTAGCAAGTTATTTCGACTGAAGGACTGAGGACCAGCACAGGGACCTCTGACAAACTAAGAATCCGATGAGTACCAGAAGACTGAGGCAAAGAAACGACGCCAGGAAGCAAGGGCACTGGACTTCGAGGACTCCCGGCACCACCCCACAACCCTGCTGGCGTTTCTGCCGTGTGCAGTCTAGTTGATTCCGACTCAGAGGCCCCCGATGTGACACCAAAGAACTGCCCCACCAGGGTTTGTGGGGGCCATCTTCACCAGAGCCTCGCCAGGTCCTTCTCCTGCAGAGCCAATGGGGGGGTTTCAGACAGCCAACCTCACGGCTAGCGGCTGGGCACTTAACTGATGCACCACCAGGGCTCCTTTCACTTCCTATTTTGGAGCCACCTAAGAAGTGAGGAAAAAGCCGGGCCAGAATGATCACACTTCCTTTTGTCACAAAGTAACATTCTGATCTCAGGAAACATTTAACAAAGCTGCTCCTGAGCCCCAAGTAAGAAGCCACCATCCCCATGGATCTCTGCACAAGAGACGCCTGCCTGGCAGACGGTGAGGCACATGGAGACACAGCCTGGAGGATGGCTAAGTGGCCAGGGCTGCTGAGGCACCAGTCACAGCAGGATGATTAATGGAACAATGTCAATCTGGATGACAAGGCACAGTGCCTAAGGCACTTGACTGCTAACCAGAAGGCTGATGGTTCAAACCCACCAGCCACTCCTGGGAAGGAAGATGGGGCAATCTACTTCCGTAGTGATACCACCTCCTGATACCACCTCAGAAAAAACCCAAGGAGGGATCACTATGAGTCAGGTCTGACTCAATGGCACATAACAACATAACAACAGCACAACAGGACAGGGCTTTTGTCTTTTATCCTCTCCCACATTTATGCAAACATCTTGCATATAAATAAACAAAGCCCTGCTTATCTCTTTGAAGATGGAGCTGAGTCCAACTGACTAATTACTCTCAAATACAGATAAACATTTAAAAGATCCCCAGACCAGAATAAAAACACAGGCAGCCAAAGGCAAAACAAAGGCATGGGCAAATCATGAGAATGAAATACTTTTGCTCAGCACAGCACTTTACAAAAAAAAAAAGTAGTAAGACAACCTACAGAGTGGAAAAAAGGACTCAGGCTCCCTATCTCCAGTGATAGTCTGATACCCAAAATGTGTATAACAAAGTTCTACACCTTAACAACAGAAAGACAAAGCCAATCAAACAATGGGGAAAGGACCTGAACAGACAGCTCACCAACAAGAATGTTCCAATGGCCAATAAGCCATGAAAAGATGCCCAATGCCATCAGCCACAAGAGACGCAAATCAAAGCCCAATGACACAGCACCTCGCCTGAGAACAGCAAGAGTAGGAACACTGGAAATCAACAGGTGTTGGCAAGGATGGAGAGAGACTGGCGCCCTCGTCCACTGCTGCTAGGAATGTAAAAAGGTGAGTCACTGTGGAAAAGTTCAGCTGTTCCCCAAAAGCGGAACATATGCATGACCTCACTTGTAGAAGAACACAAGACAAGACAAACGGATAGTGACCAAATCTTATTAGCTGTTGCTAGGGGCAGGAGGGAAGGGCAGGGGAGGTTAACAGTGACGGAAACATCACAACAACTAAAGGTAGGACTGTACAGCCAGTACTGCATTTGCTGTCAATAAGCTATACACCTGTAAAAACTTGAATTGGTAGAAGCTGCGTGATAGATATAATAACCAAAATTTAAAAAAAAAAAAAGCGTGAGAGTAGCTGCTGAGGTTACCTATGTACAACCAAACACCTGATGGGATCTGGTTCCTTGGTTTGGAGGTTTAGGGTCATGGTTTCATGGGACATCCCAGTTAATTACACTAATAACAAGCCTGATGCTTCTATTCTGTCTCCTAGTCCCTTGCATAGCACCTAGAGTCTAAAAGCTTGCAAACAGCCATCAAAAGAACAACAGTTGGTCTCTTTAGTATTCTTCACTATACAACAACAGAGGAAGGAGAGTCAGGAATGACAGCAGAATATGAAATGCATGGCTAATTGTGTCCATGAACAACTGCCACTTTTGCCTTGAGACCAGAAAAACTAGATGGTGCCCAACTACCATTACCGAACATTTTTACCATAGAAGAAGCCTGATCAAATGGAGGAAAACGGAGAACAGAATATCAAATCCTCATGACTCTAGACTTTCTGGAGCCATGGAGCCTGGATGAACCCCAGAAACTATTACTCTGAGACTATCTTTAAACCTTAAACCAAAAATACCCTCTGAAGTCATATTAAAACTGAACAGTAGTTTACCTTCACTAGTAACAAAGGTCTGTTTTGAGCATTATACTCTTTTAAGAACTTCTACATGCAATCATATTGAAATTGTTGTTGTTGTTGTTGTTGTTATGTGCCGACTCATAGCAACCCCTCCTTGGGTTTCTAAGGTGGTATCACTATGGAAGTAGATTGCCCAACCTTCCTTCCAAGGTTGGTGGATTTGAACTGCCAGCCTTCCAGTTAGTAGTCAAGTGCCTTAAGCAGTACGCTACCAGAGCTCCTCACATTGACGTTAGCATTTCGAAATATTAGATATGAACCTTAGGAACCAGGGAGTTTATGTGAATGAGGGTGAAACAACTCAGAAAAGGAAGGTAAGAATGGTTGCACAACATGGTTTTGACTGTGGATGTAAGCAAAATCAAATCCTTGATGATTTCAATCTTTTCTTCACTTCTCATGATGTTATTAGTCCAGTTGGGAGGATTTTTGTTTTCTTTACACTAAAATGTAACCCATACTGAAGGCTATAGTCTTTGATCTTCATCAGCAAGGTTCCTTTCAGCAAGCAAGACTGTGTCGTCTACATACCACAGGTTGTGAATGAGTCTTGCTCTATCCTGATGCCGCCTTCCTCTCGGATTATGTGCTCAGCATATAGACAAAGTATGGTAAAGGATACTTCCACCTTTCCTGACTTCAAACCATGCAGTATCCCCTTGTTCTTTCAAACAGCAGCCTCTTATCTACGTACAGGTTCCACATCAACACAATTAAGCATTCTGGAATTCCCTTTCCCCACGATGCTATCCGTAGTTTGTTATGATCCACGCAGTCGAATGCCTTTGTATAGTTGTTGCGTCAATGTTGTTGTTCTCAGGTGATGTCAGGTCATTTCCAACTCACAGCAACCGTATATACAACAGAATGAAACATTCCCTGGTCCTGTCCCAGCCTCAAGAACCCTGCTACACCTAAGCCCATCGTTGCAGCCACTGTATCAATCCATCTTGTTGAGGGCCTTCCCCTTTTTTGATGACCATCCACTTTACCAAGAATGGTCCCTTCTGACAACATGACCAAAGTAGTTGAAACGAAGTCTGGCCATTCTCGCTTCCAAGGAGTATTCTGACTATATTTCTTCCAGGACACGTTTGTTAGTTCTTTTAGCAGTCCATGGTACTTTTAGTATTCTTCACCAGCACCTCAACTCAAAAGCATCAACTCTTCTTTGGTCTTCCTTATTCATTTTCCAGCTCTCACACGCACATGAGGAGACTGGAAATACCATGGCTTAGCTTGTTGTTGGTGTTGCTGTGTGCCGTCGAGTCGGCTCTGACTCATAGCAACTCCTCCTTGGGTTGCTGAGGCAGTATCACTACAGAAGTAGATTGCCCAACCTTCCTTCCAAGGAGTGGCTGGTGGGTTTGAACTGCCAGCCTTCTGGTTAGCAGTACAAGTGCCTTAGGCACTAGGCCACCAGAGCACCTCAATCTTTAAATTGCATCAATAGTAGAGAATAAATAGCACTAAACTAAGTCTGCTCTTGCCTTACCTAATTACAAAAAAAAAAGACTCAAAGGCTCAAACTACTTCAAAGCAACTATATTTGTCCGAAGATAAAGCTCAAGAATGCTTATAATCATCTGCCTTCAAGTCGATTCTGACTCATGGTGACCCCATGTGTGTCAGAGCAGAGCTGGATGCCACAGGATTCTCCACGGCCGATTGTTCAGATGCAGATCACCGCGCCTTTCTCTCCAGGTGCCTCGGGACAGACTGGAATCTGCGACATCTCAGTTAAAGCTGAGCACGTCAACCACTGACGCCACCCAGGCACTTCGAGAATATTTACAGGAATACCAAAGTGAGCACGTCAACCACTGACACCACCCGGGCACTCCGAGAATATTTACAGGAATACTAAAGCATCCAGCACCCAATGAAGTCCAAGGATGTCTGGCTTCCAATCAAAGACTACCAGGCACGCAAACAGGTAGGAAAATATGGCCAATAATGAGGAAAAGAATCCATCAACCAACAAGACCCATAAATGACACTACCGTCAGCAGGTAAGAACAATCAAAGAGCTATTCTAACTTGTTCACATAGATTCAGAAAGTTAAGTGGAGACGTGAAAAACATAAAAAGACCCAAACTGAACTTCTGAGCTGAAATTACATGCACAGGAATGGGTTTTAACGTACATGTAACTGGAGTCTCCAAGGAAGAGGAGAGAGTATGGCAAAAAAAAATATCTCAAGTGATGTCATTTGTTGTTTTTGGGTGCCGCCAAGTCAATTCCAATTCACAGCAACCCTACAGGGCAGAGTAGGACTGCCCCACAGGGTTTCCCGGGCTGTAATCTTTATGGGAGCAGATCACTAGAACTCTTCCCTCACAGATCAGCTCACGAGTATGAACCACCAACTTTCTGCTCAGCAGCCGAGCACTTAACCCTTATGCCACCAGGTTCCTTATTTAAAGCAATAATGGCCAAAATTTGTACAAATTTGGTAAAAGCTACGAATCCAAGTATACAAAAAGTACAATAAACGTCAAGTAAAAAAAAGAAACTCTATCAAGATAATTAGGAGCTCTGGTGGCATAGTGCCTAAGGCACTTAACTACTAACCAGAAGGCTGGAGGTTCAAACCCAGCAGCCACTCTTCGGAAGGAAGTTTGGGCAATCTACTTCCGTAGTGATACTGCCTCAGAAACCCATGGAGGGGTCACTATGAGTCGGGTCCGATTTGACGGCATACAACAACAACAACATCAAGATAATTATAATTAAACTTCTCAAAACCAGCTGCAAAGAAAAATAATCTTAAAAGTAACGAGAGCAGGAAAAAATGTATAGAGAAACAAACGTAAGGATGAGCACAGAGTTTTCTTCAGAAGGAAGGCAAGCAGGAGGGCAGAGGAGCAAAATCTTTAAAGCACTGAAAGGAAAAAGCCCGTCAGCCTAGAACTCTGTACCCAGCAAAAACACCTTTCAAAAATGAAGGCAAACATGAATTCCAGACTTTCCAGAGCCATGGAGGCCAGATGAACCCCCAAAACTACTGCTCTGAGATCATCTCTAAACCTTCAACCAACAATATTCTCTGAAGTCTTCTTAAAACCAATTAATAGTTTACCTGAACAAGTAAAAATACGACTGCCTTGAGCATTATGCTTTTAAGAACCACCTAAAAAAAAAAAAAAACGTTGCCATTGAGTCGATTTGACTCACAGCGACCCCTCCTTGGGATTCTGAGGCAGTATCACTACAGAAGTAGATGGCTCAACCTTCCTTCCAAGGAGTGGCTGGTGGGTTTGAACCACCAGCCTTCTGGTTAGCAGTAATATGCGTTAGGCACTACGCCACCAGAACTCCCAAGAACCATCTATATGGGATCAAATCAACAACAACAACTCGAAAAATTAGCTAGGAATCAATTTTCAGAAGCAGAGAGTTTATGTTAATGGCAAAGAAACAACTCAGAAAAGGAGAGTGAGAATGATTGGATGACTCTAAGAACGTAATCTGTGTCACCAAATTATACCTGTAGAAACTGAACTGGTTTTATGTTTTGCTGTAAAGTAAAATGCATGATAATAATCATCAAGCTTCTGAGGAGGAAAACGGAGGTATGTTAGTGAGGTTCTTCCAGTATCCATGCAGCAAGTGATACACAACGAAGAGGGACCGCGTGAACCTCAAGCAATCACTAAATAACGAAACAGTGTGACAGGTAATGAGCCAACACAGGATGTAAAACAGAACCATCCAAAAATACTCAATCTAAAAAAAGGCACGGAAACAGGAGAAAGGAAATCAAAGAACAGACGAGACAAGTAAAAAACAAATGCCAAGAGAATAGATTTAAAGCAATCATAAATCAAAAAGCCCACCCAGTGGCCGCCAAGTCGACTCCGACTCATGGTGACCTCGCATGCAGAGCAGAACTGTCCTCCAGAGGGTCCTAAAGCTGTGGCAGTCCAGAACCAGACCACCAGACTAAAGACTCAAAGAGGACACTACTGCACAGGGCCCCAGCCCACAGGAACCACAGCATCATCTAACCCAAGACCAGGAGAACTAGATGGTGCCCGGCTACCACTACCAACACCAACTTCTCTGACCAAGGACACAATAGATGGTTCTGAAGAACACTGTAGAACAAACTCATATTCTTTAAAAAAAAAAAAAAGGACTAGACTTATTGCACTGATAGAGACTTAGAGGAATCCCCAAGACTGTCACCTTGAGATATCCTTTAATCTTGGAAGTGAAACCACTCCCAGAGATCACCTCTAAGCTAAATCACAGACTAGCTTACAAAGTAAATGATAACCCCAATTGAGTACAGGGCTCTTTTTGAAAATGATCTACATGAAACCAGACAGTCAACATCTGCCTCAAAGCCAAGAAAAGAAGGTAACAGGGTGGGGAAGGACAGTGAAGCTAGATTAACAGAAATGGAATAACCAGAATGGAAATGAGAATTTTGACATACTGAGAAAAATGTAACCAATATAACTGAACAATATATATACAGAAATTGTTAAATGGGAATTGAATTTGTTCTGCAGACTTTCACCAAAAATATAAAAAAATATATTAAAAAAAAAAAGTTAGATCACCAAGGAGCTCTGGTGGTGTAGTGGTTAAGGCATTTGGCTGCTATCCAAAAAGTCCATGGTTTGAACCCACCAGCTGCTCTGCAGATTAGGATGGAGCAATCTGCTTCTGTAAAGACTTACAGCTTTGGAAACCCAAGGGTGACCCTCTATGAGTCAGAATCGACTCGATGGCAGGGAGTTTGGTGTTTTGGTTTAAGCCTTTCTTTCAAGGTGCCTCTGTTGTTATTGTTGTTGTTATGTGCCATCGAGTTGGATCCAACTTATAGCGCCCCTCCTTGGGTTTCCAAGGCAGTATCATTATGTAAGTAGATTGCCCAACCTTCCTTCCGAGGAGTGGCTGGTGGGTTTGAACCGCCAGCCTTCCGGTTAGTAGTCAAGTGCCTTATGCACTATGCCACCAGAGCTCCTTTAAGGTGCCTCTGAGGGGGTTCAAACCACCAGCCTTTTGGTTAGTAGTTCAGCATTTCACTGTCTGGGCCTCCCATGGACTCACACTAATGTAAATGGCCTAAATATTCCACTTAAAAGCAGAACATACACATATAGGCAGGCTCCGGATTACGGACGAGTTCCATTCTTGTCTTTAAGTCCAATTTGCACGTAAGTCAGAACAGTTAGGTAGGTTCACATCTAATACCAGTTAGTCACTTCCAGATACACTCAAACGTCTTTAATTCAGTAATAATAATAATAATAATAATACTGTTTTTGAGGTATTGCAAAGGAATGCCGGTTTGTTATTACAAACCACTGTAGGCATCTCACATTTACAAGGGTTGGTTCATAAGTACGGATTGTTCAATCAGACCTTCTTAACCAGAGATTGCCTGTATACACACGTGTGTGTTTCTTGTTTGTGTCCGCTACCAGGATGATGGTTCCCTGAAGGAGATGCTGTATCCTGCATTTCTCTGCAATGCCAGAATTGTCCCATAAAGGGTCCTCAATTAATACGAAAGGAAGGGAGGGAGGGAGAGAGGCAGGAAGGAAAGAAAGAAGCAGGGAGTGAAGGAGGGAATCCTACTGACTCCAATTCACTACAATTTCTTCCACAGGAACCAATATTATGTATGATTCATTAATTTAACTATGGCCTCCTTAATTAAATACAACCACCAACACTCAGACAAGATACTTCTACATAAAACGCTCCTAATAAACTCAGTCTAACATCATGGAAGCTGTTCACTGCATTTAACAGTTTTCCCTTAATAAACAGTGATTCTGGCATAAAGAAACCAGTGACAGGGAGCAATTTCCACCTGCACACTTGAGCAGCACTACTGGGAACATCCCAGTAAAGCAAGAAGAGAGGAAGTTCCCTGGTCCGGGCAGCCAACACACAAGTGCATCACAGACACAGTATCTTAGGCAGCTGCAGGGGCCACTGGCGCAGGCGCTGAGCTAACCAGACAGAGACTACTGCGCTGGGTGCCGTCAAGTCAGTTCGGACTCAGAGCAACCCTAAGGTCAGAGCAGGACTGCCCAAGTGGTCCCCGAGGCCAGAGTCTGTACAGAAGCAGGTCACCAGTCTTTCTGCCACAGAGCGACTGGTGGACCTGAACTGCCCACCTTTCGCTCCGAAGCTGCGTGCTGACCTGTTGTGTCATCGGGTCTCCTTAGATACAGACCACATCATCTTTTCCCTCTGATTGCCGTTGTCAGGTGCCATCGAGTTGGCTCCGACTCCCAGCAACTTTACGTGCGACAGGACGAAACGCTGCCCAGTCCTGCACTGCCCTCATGTTCCTTTATGTGCGTCCTCTCACAGGTACTAGGCTAGCACGCCGCAGCATGCCGTGAGACAGAGGGAGCTGGGAGGATGCTCACCTTGCTTGGTGAGGGCTTCCCGGAGAGCGGGCGTGATCATGGCTCTCCCTTCACCGTCTTCCTTCTCCTCCGTGCTCCGGAGCAATCTGCTTCTCTCCTCCCGCCACTCCTGCTGCTTCTGTGTGAAAACAAATGAAATGCAGCACTGACCACGTACAGTGCAAACCACGGGACAACACTCACAAGCACCAGGGCTCGCAACGGTGTCCTCTCCAAAAGGACTGAATTCCCAGTCAGACGATGACCGAAGGACAGGCCAAGGCAGCAGCCGCCCACCACGCACCGAGGACCCTTGATGCCGGCCCAGGCCCCGCAGAACCAGTGGGCAGACTCCCAGCCATAAGCTTCCCACCAAACACGGAAACACTTCACAGCGTGTAATGCCTGCGATCTGCTTCAGACTCGTACCACCAGTAAGCCAGGGGCCGTCAGGTGACCTCAACTCACGACGCCCCGTGCGTCAGAGCAGAACCGTGCTCCATAGGGTTGGCAACCACAGATTTTTCAGGAGATTGCCAGGCCTTTGTTCCAAGGAGCCACTGGGCACACGCCAAGCACCAACCTCTTAGTTAGCAGCCGCTGAGCGTGTTAACCATCCGCATCACCCAGGACTCCCTAACTCCTACAGAAGCGGACACAGGAAGGCAGATGAGGAGGACAGCCCACTGGCTGACGGCTGTCAGAGCTGGGCAACAGATGACAGATACCACCTTGTTCTGTCTCCACACGAAAATTAGGAGACAAGATTTAAATTAAAAAAAAGAAAGAAAGAAAGAGGCAAATCAAGGCAACGCAGAGCAAACTGCTCTCTTCTCTATTCCTTAATGGCCTCGTTCTGGTACCAAGTCAGCGAGAAAGCACCCTGGAATCAAGTGGACCCACTGAGAAAGCAAACCAACACCAAGTTCTATCCAAAAGGTCAGCACTCCAATGACTAAACACCATCAAAACACAAAGCTAATAAACAAGCTTGCTTCTGTTAACAGAGTTCTTACCTACATAGTTCCAGACGGAACAGGAAAAACATGTAAACAAACATCACTCAGCATAGTGGCTAAAGCACTTGACTGCTAACCAGAAGGCTGGCGGTTCAAACCCACCAGCTACTCCTCGGAAGGAAGGTTGGGCAATCCTACTTCCGTAGTGATACTGCCTCGGAAACCCAAGGAGGGGTCACTATGAGTCGGGGCTGACTCGACGGCACATAACAACAACAATAACAACAGCATTACAAAGTAATGAGTTTAATGCTCAGCGTTTTACAGAAATTAAAAAAAAAAGTTTCAGTTACTATTTTGTTAAAGTAATTTAACATAAAAGACATCTTTGGCTTTTTTCCCCCTTAATCTCTTTCAGATCTAAAAGCAAAGATTGGGGGGGGGGGAATTCACTGCCGTCAAGTCAGATCCAACTTATAGCGACCCTTCCTTGGGTTTCCAAGGTGGTATCACCACAGGAGTAGATTGCCCAGCCTTCCAAGGAGCGGCTGGTGGGTTTGAACCACCAGCCTTTTGGTTAGCAGTCAAATGCCTTAGGCACTATCCCACCAGAGCTCCCTCCTAAAAGCAAAGATGGGAGCTTATAAAGAAAAGAAAGTTTATGGTGGAGTAAAAGGGAGGAACCTTGACTTCCAGGCAGTTTAAATGTCTCTGAATCAATGGTGTAGCAGGTTACTATGTTTCCACTAACCATGCAAGCAAGTGCCTGTCACCACAAAACATCACCTGCATTGTACGAGCTTACATGCAATGAACCCTGGTGGTGCAGGGATTAAAGCGCTCAGGTGCCAACCAGAAGGTCGGAAGGTTGAGCCCACCAGCAGCTCTGTGGGAGAAAGACCTGGCAAACGACTTCCACAACGATTATGGCTTAGGAAACCCTCCAGGGCATTTCTACTGTCACGTGGGGTCGCTGTGAGTTGGGACGGACCAGACAGCACCCAACAACAAGGGCCATGTACGCGCACGACTGAACCCACCCTACGACACCCCTGTGCCTGAGCTCCAGACACCCCCTTGTGGTCTCCAGCAGACACCTGCCCTGCTGTCAGATGGCCGTGGGACGGCATCCGTGCTGTGAAACGAAAGTGCTGCCACTCCAGGGTCAACCATTCTGCCACCAGGTCTGCGTGGACAGAGCTCCGGGTTAGGGTTAATGGTCCTGGGTGCTCAGGACAAAGCCACATGCATCATCCCTTCCCCCACACAGCTGGTCCCATCTTCCCGAAGCAGAAGCAATTTCATTTCTGAAAAGGACTACAGTCATTCTTAAGACAGCACATGCAAGTTTAATGCACCATTCAAATTCTAACCCTAATCTCACCGGTGAGGAAGACGGTGCAATGTACTTCCAGAAATTTACAGCCTGGGAAACCCAACGGGGGTCGCCATGCGTCAGAATCGACTCGATGGCAGAGTGTTTGGGTTTTAATTATCGACCTCCTAGGTGCTGCCATGCTGACATGTTATATGCCCAGCACATAACAATACAACCACTTAAGACATTGTTTTATTCATTCATTCATTCAGTCATTCAGAGCTGTTACATAACCAAGGGCCCCGGGTGGAGCAAGCTGGCTGCAATCAGCTGCTGACCTAAGGATGGCAGTTCAAGCCCCCCCAGCAGCACTGCAAAAGAAAGGCCTGGTGCTCTACTCCCTAAAGATTACAGCCTAGAAAACCTCACTCCACATAGGGTCACCGTGAGTCTACTTCGAGGGCACCCAACAAATACAACTACTCCCTCTCCCCAGCTGCTGGGACCACTCTACTGGGGTCTCTATTCCTTGGCCTGCCTTAGCCATACCCACGAGTCTTTTTTTTCCTATCATTGTGGTGAAATATACACAGCAAAACATTCATCAATTCAGTAATTTCTACACATCAACTGAGGGACACTGACTACATTCTTCATCTTGTGCAACCATTACTGATGAAGCTTTTTCCAGATCATCCCACAACCATTAACATAAACTCACTGCCCTGAGAACAAAGACTCCCCCTTTTCCCTGCCTTGCAGCCTGATAACCACCACCAACCTTGTTCTGTATATTTGCTTATACATTAATGAGTTCATACAGTGTCCTTTTGTGACTGACTTGTTTTGCTCAGCTTAATGTTTCTGTTTTTTAATTTTTATTGTGATTTGGGTGAAAGTTTACAGAGCAAATCCATTTTCCATACAGCAGGTCATACACATTCTGCTTCATGACATTGACTGCAACTCCCCACAGTGTAACAGCTCACTTCCCCCTTCCTCCCTGCAGTTACTTCTGCCCTGTGTCCTTCTTTCCTATGCACTCCTGCCCCCAGAGCTGTCTCCCTGCGCAAACACTGCCCTTCTGTTCTCCCACAATTGATCGCTCCAAGAAGTGTATCTATTGTTGTTGTTATGTGCCATCAAGTCGGACCCAACTCATAGTGAACCCTCCTTGGGTTTCTGAGGTGTTATCACTACAGAAGTAGATTGCCCAACCTTTCTTCTGAGGAGTGGCTGGTGGGTTTGAACTGCTAGCCTTCTGGCTAACAGTCAAGTGCCTTAGGCACTATGCTACCAGAGCTCCCAGGAGTGTATCTACCTGATGTAAGTGTTCACCCTATATGCGTGTCTGTTGTTTGGATGGAAGCCATGGGAGTGAGTTCAGTTCCAGACCTAAAGGTAACTAGGGGCTATAGTCTCGGGGGTTTCACCAGGTTCTAACAGAGACCAGCAAACCTGGTCTTCTTTTTTTTTTTTTTTTAATGATTTTGACTTTTGTTCCACGTTGTTCTCCCACTCTCTGCAGGACCTCCTGCACCCATTATTCTTGCCTTCAATTCTAACACACATCTTCTCTAAGCCTGTTTCCTGACATACGAAAAGGGAAGCCGATCGTAAGCTAACTTCCCAGGCACTTAACAAAAAAGGTCTCTGTAAATAAAAAGGACTGTATGAATCTTACGTGATAATGGAGGCAAAAAGCAGTACTGAGCTTCTTTATTTAAAGGATACTGTACAACACTACCTAACTAATTTTCACACCATCATCCCAGAAACGATTGGACCACTCCAAGTTTGCCTAAGATGGAAAAGGAGACAACAGAGTGATTGTACAAGCGTTCTGATACCAAAGCAAGCCTTTCTCCTGGGAAGGAGTATTCGTGTAAATCTGTTCCCTTGACCCTTGCCGACCATCGGGTGAATCTCTTCCAACCTGTCTGTGGTGTGGTGAATTATTTGGTATGGCTCTTCCAGTCACGGTCTTGGTGACTCCCACCACATGACTGTGGAACTACACAAATATAAGGTGCTTGTGACCCACAAAGGGGCCTGGACAGCTTGTTAGTAATGTAAATAAGGCACCTGGCACCTGCGGGGATGGGACCACAGACATAAGGTGCATGGAACTCCAACATGGGGATCAGTTAGCTTTGTCATTCACTAAAGGAGATCTGGTGGCATAGTGCCTAAGGCATTTGACTGCTCACCAGAAGGCTGGCGGTTCACACTCACCAGCCAGTCCTCAAAAGGAAGACTGGGTAATCTACTTCCGTAGAGATATGCCTCAGAAACCCAAGGAGGGGTTGCTATGAGTCAGATTCGACTCCACAGCAGTGTGTTTGGTTTTTGGTCATTCACTAGGCTTAAAGTGAGCCCTCCTAGAGGCAGAAGGAGGGATCTCACTGCCATCAAGAGAGAAGAGCTGGAGGTGGAGAGGAATGCATCCTTGGACCCAAGATCCTTGTGCTGGACCTCCTTGGCACAGGGACGCAGCAGCAGTGGCAGTGGCAGCAGAACCGAGCCGCTGGCACAAGACAGAGTGGCAGACCTGCCGGCCACAGAGCGAGAAAGCTGAGTAGCTTCTGGCAGAGCAGCCTGTACCTACGTGTATCTATCAGCAGCGCTCAAAGAGCTCTGTAACACTTGCCCAGCCAGGCTCAGAGGCCAAGGGCCAAAGAGAGGTGTACTTGAGGGTAGAGTAGAGAGGCAGCTTTCCTGATTGAAGAACTGTATCCTGAGTGTTCTAAACCTGAACTGTTTACTTCCCTAAAAAAACCCATAATCGCAAGTACTGTCTGAATTCTGCGTGGCCACTGCAATGAATTATTAAATCCAAAAGAGAAGTAGTGAGTGTCACAG